TTTATGAACACCAGTAATCATAAAAAAACACTCTATACTTAAAAGCAGAAGCCTAGGCAATTTAATATTACTACATTTTAACCCATAGTACAGAACTCAGAACCTGTAAGAATTGGGTAGGAACTTTCACAAGCCACTACTCAGAATTTTGTGATCTACTTCTGAAAAGAAAATAGCCAGGTTTTTTTTTGTTCGTTTGTTTTGTTGTTTTTTTTTAATTCCCCTGTGAACACACAATTGTTCCAACCAGGGTTTCTTCAGAGCAATGCATTAGCAGACTGGCCATCATTTAATTCTTGGTGCTCAGGTGTTTCCATTTTACAAAGCCCAGAGAGAATTTCAGATTGCAGTGTGCCAGCTCCAAAACCAGGCAAACTAATGGAATTTTCTATCTGCACAGTTTAGGGAAAGCCTGAGCTCCTGGGAGCTTTTCTCATCTGGCTTTGGTGGAAAGCCAGAGCAGCCTGGCTGTTTGATCCATAGCCAAAGGAGGATGTGCCAAGATCAGAGGCACAGACAGAACACAAGATGCCACCCTACCCCTGACCACTACAATCCAACCTAACTCAAACAGAGGGGCTCTCTTGGACCTAGGGTGTTGTTTGGAGAGAGAGATGGACTTCAGCTGCACCCATGAGTGGTTGTGATACTACACCCAAATGAGTGGTTGTGATACTACACCCAAATCCAGAGCAGCCTTGTTGCTGCTTGAGCTTGGACAGCTGAAGGTTCCCATTTTCTGTTCCCCCCCTTCCCTGCCCGGCTGAAATCTCCAGTCATGCCTGAGTGAAGAAAGGGCAGTTGTTTCCCTTTTCCTCAGTGACCTACAATGAGGAAGCACTGCATCATCTCTCCCCTAGCCAGAAACCAGATGTGGTATCTTTACAGCATCCCTGCAGCTTTCATCCACTTTCCTTGACCCTCAGCTTCTGGAAGAGAACAATATTGCCTTTTGCTTACTGCTCCATCTTTGCCAGAAGAAAACAACTTAATATTCCTTTAGAACAGGTTATGTGCCTTGTTAATATGGGAATATGGACACAGGACACACCTGTTCTGAGTTTTTCTTGTGATATTTTCTGAAGACAGAAATTATTAAATTGTTTTAACACCTCTGCCTAGTTAGTTGTAAAGCCATAATCAAAGTGCATTAAGAGCCAAACAATAAGGCATGCCAGAGATTTCACTTGGATCTTTCCTGCAGCAGTGACACTGGATTCATTGGTGACTATTAATGATGGAAGAGGGAGGCTCCTCTGTGTAACTTTGCTGTTGAAACCAACCTGGGCAAGATGGGAAAACACAGCAACTTCAGAACAACTTTGCTGAAAATAAACAATACACTGAAAAATTCATTTACCACTCTGCACCCATGATCAGTCCTACTCTGCTCCAGTTTCATCCCTTATCACTGATGAGCCACTGTCATTTGCGGTATCAGCACAAAAGAGAGATGAGCACATGGAAGTGATCAGAAGTCTAACCAACAGGAAATTATTAAAAGGAGTGGAAGAGTGGTATTTACTTAGTACAGGCAGTACTGTACTGCCAAATGAGGACACAACTGTCTCAGGTACCTACTACGAAGGGGATGATTAAACCTTTCCCCATGTCTGTGGTGTGAGCAATACAAACAGGATAAGGCACACAACACTTGCATTGCAGCAACAGAGATGAGACATTAGGGAAGAATTTTACTCACCTTCAGTCTTACTACAGAAGAATCCAGACAAGAAAGCCACTTTATTAATGGCTAACACTAAACATTTACCACTCTGTGTTTGCATCACAGCATCTATTGAATACATCAAGTCTTGAATGTGGTCATATCACTGGTATGGGAATGTAGCCCAAAAAGAGACCAAGGTTTTTACAAGTACTGAATGTTTTTAAAGAATAAACCAGGCAAAACATGTACTAGGAAACACAAAAAATAATTTACCTTACACAAAGTGGGAATTTGAGGATTTCCTATAGTCCTTCCCAGACCCATAACTCTGTGATAATGCTATTTTGGCTTCACAGCTATGATCCAAGCTTACATGAAGTTTCTCGCCTAATGGGACAAAAAAAAAATACTAGAGACCTATTAGTACTACAGTTGCTTATATCTACAGCACCTTACATAAATGATTTTCTACAGGTAAGATATAGAATGGTAGCAAAATATTAAAAAGCAAGGTTAAGAAATGTGGACTTTGGGAATATTGTGTCTTTGCTAAGCTCTGCTTTTACATGAATTGTTCTGTGCTGGGTGCAGGTGTCAAGGTGTCAGCAAGGGAGGTTGGCAGGGATGGCCTCCCTGGGGCAGGGCACAGCTGGTTCCAGCAGACCCATGGAGCAGATGCCTGCACTGCAGCCTAGGGGACAGCCCACACTGATTTGTTTGGTGGGCTGTTTTCCCATAGCACTTTGGCTTGAGACCAGTTCCATAATTCCTGTTCGAAGAAAAGTCCTTGTATCAAAAGGACAATCTTAGTGATGCTCTTAAGAGGCCAGTCTGCTGATGAGGCCAGTTTCCATCCACTCACCATTAGTAGGTGATGATAATTTCTGCCTCATCAGCTTTTTCCCCTACATGTGTTTGCAGAGTTTTCTGTAAATGAAAATCCCCTGGGGACTTCATACAGCTCTCAGACAGCTTAGCTAACTCAAATCCAAGATGCACTGAGAGTCTGAACTGTCTTGTTTATTAATAAGACTTGACTTTTTCAGGACTGCAATTATTTACCTTTGAAAGAAACTGAGAGATTGTGCACCCAATGTTGCTGAACCACAAAACCTGAGTCCTGCATTTCTTCTTCCAAAGATCAGCCAGCCAAAAAGAATAAATAATGAAGTACATAGGTTTCTGCATACACTAAACAGATCCATTAAAGTGGATTTATCTGCACAATTTCCCTTAAATTACTATTATGCCCTATTTCTGTGCAATTTTCTGTATTTTGTGAAATTATGTTCCTGGCAGTCGAATCACTTTGTGGTGGCACTGTTACAGAAGGTTATGAAAATCATCTTGGGCTGACACTGCAAGTCCTGCTGGCTCTGAGCTCTGCAACAAAGCCCAAGGAATGCTACATGGCTGAGAGATGGTTGTGTCACCTGCATCATTACTAAAACACAATAAATTTTACCTAATGTTCCCTTTCATTATTTCTATGTGATTTCTAAAAAAAAACCAACAAAAACACCCAAACAAAAAAAGGCATGTTCATGCAATTCTTGTAATGAATAACCTAAAAAGTAGGAAGAAGAACAGCCTTGTCTGGTTCTACCTTTTATCTCTTTGCAGGAGACAACTACAGAGGCACAGAACTTTTGTCCGAGTCCTTGTCATCTCAGGAGGAGCTTTATTCTCTCTGACCATGTGGATTCTCAATAGTCCCTCCTTGTAGAGCACTTCCACTAAAATGTGAAAATTCAGCCACAGAGATGACCACAAAATGCTCACATAGCACACCAGAGTAATTCCCAGCATAAATAAGGCAATTATTCAATAATATATAAGACATTTATTAAGCCTTGAGCAACTCTTAATTTGACTTAACAATTAAAATTCTCTGGTGTTTCATTCACTTGCCAGAACAATGAATTTAAAGAAATGTTTGGAAAGAGCAAAAATCTTATCTATATAAATAAATACCTATAGATATAAATAATATAAATACCTATTATGTGTTGATAGCTCTCCAAAACTGAACTTGTAAGAACAGACTTAATCTCATAATCTTTACCCAAGTGGTACAAAAGTCAATTGGTTTGGACCACAGCACATATTTATTCTTAAAAAATAATCTAATTATTCTACTTTCACTATTTCAAAAATGAAGATAAATTCCCACACCTGAATTTTTACGTCTCTGCAAAACAATTTCTAACATATATTGGATATGATGAAAAACACGAGCTATGAATAAAATGTAATCATCTGCTTAAATCAAGATGAGCTCTATGAAATTCTAAGCCTTCCAAATTATTCTGAATGCAAGGCTCACTATAGTCTCCTGGGCCTTGTAGTTTCCAAATGTCTTTAAAAAATGCTAGTTAAACAGCATTCATCCAGTTTCAGAGAAATCTGAGGCAAAGCAGCTTTTAGGCTCTATATTTTCCCCAAAAGGAGAAAATGTTCTTTAGAGAAGCTGAAAACAAAGCAAAGACAGCAGAGCAGCCAACTCTGCCACACTGACAAAGGAATCCAAAGGAAAGATTTCCATTTATTTTCCTTTCAGGGTCAGCTGTGCTCAGCCAGTGGGCAAGGACAGATTATGTGAATAAAAGGCTTTGCATTCTTTCATGCCTTAGGTATGAATGCCAAATACAAGGAATTTTACCACTGATGCATGAGGACTTTTTAAGGACCAGCAGAACCCAGGAGGTGCTGGAACATGGGATTTCTCCTTCTTGACCACTAGAACCCAGCAATCTTGGAGTAAGGCATCTTCCATCTTAATTTGATGGATGCAGCTGCTGCTGTTTCTGCTAGGGAGTCCAGCTAGGAGCAAGGCTGAGCTAATCCAAACCAGTGGTTACAAAACCACACACACACACAGACAAGGAGCAGTGTCTTTCCTAGCACACACACACAAATGTACTCCCACAAACCCACCCACAGCCCCACCCTGTCCCTCAGCTCCAGCCTCACAGCACCCGAGATCACCAGTGCATAATACAACCCCCACACTCTCCAGTTTCACAAGGACACTTCATTCATGGAGCCTCCAGACACTGCCACTGGATTTAAGTTTACCAAATACCAAGGCCAAGACCCTGAACCCCCTTACCCTGCCACTGCAGGGATCTTTCAAAATCCTGTTTTTCCTCCTTGCCAGCTTGTCCAGCCTTTAGTTTGGCAGTGAGTTTTGGATCCCTACAGCACCTGACTGCCCACAACTTGCTACCCCATGTCTGGGCCCAAATCCTAAAGCCCCTGTGACCCATGGCCTCTTCTCTACCTGCCACTGTCCAAACATCCCAATAAAACACACCCACACATGTTGATGTAGCACAGAAAGCAAGGTCAAGCAGAAAATCATCAGAAAAAAAATTTAATGAGAAGCTGAGATTGACTGCAGTGATGAGTCAAAAGGCAGACAAGAGCATTTCCATTTTTCCTTATGGGTCCACATCCACCTCTGCCCTTGTCTCCTCCCAAACAGGGCACCTCTAATTATTCTTCCTCATCCATCCCAGTTTTGCCATACCCTTACCCAAAATCGGTATTTCGGCTACTACTTGAATCCCTTACTGATACAGCACAGTGGACCTTGCAAGATTTCCTCAATATTCCTTGCAATTATTTGTGAGGTTTGATATCTTCCCCTTAAACATCAGTGAAATTTGTCCATCTCTCAGTAATCTGTAAATTCTGTCAGCCTCTCAATGCCACTGCTGTTCAGCAATTTCTTCTATCAAGACCAGCAGTTTCTCATGGTCTTTTCAGCCTCAGCAAGAGCCTGGACCTCTGCCTGCATAACATAAGGAGGTTTAATTCCAGGACAGAAACAAAACAAAGTGCAGATGCACTAAATTGCCACAGGTTTAATACGTGGCAGTGCTGAAGTCCTAGGTGGTTCCTGTGAAAGAGCTGTGATGCAGCTCATCTGCCACAGCCAAATGTCTGGTTCCAGGTTTCATAGAGTTCCAGGTCCTTTGGGGACACACTGGGCCGCACCGTTTTCAGGGCACTCTCAAAGTCCAGGAAAGAAATGGGCCGTACCTGGTCCGGAGTGATGGTTGCAATGTCCGTGGACTGCAGACTGCGGATAGGGCCCAGAGAAGCTTCCCGACAGAGCTGTGTCATGTCTGCCCCAGAAAACCCATTGGATTTCTGGACTATGAGTTTGATTTCCTCTTCATTTAGAGAGCAGTGCTCCTTTGCCATCAGGCGGGTGACAATCTGCTTCCTAGCAGAGGCTTCTGGGAGAGGAATGTACAGTCTCTTCACCAGTCTCCTTCGGGCAGCTTCATCAATTTCCTGGGGTCGATTTGTTGCTCCAACCACTAGAATACGATCTTCAGAAGAGGTTGTTGCCCCATCTAACTGCACCAGAAATTCAGTTTTTATTCTCCTGGACGACTCGTGCTCCCCCTCTCCACGCTGGGACAACAGGGAATCGATCTCATCGATGAAAATCACTGCTGGCTGCTGACACCGTGCCACAGCAAACAGTGCACGGACCATCTTCTCCCCCTCACCCACCCATTTGGAAGTCAGAGAGGAAGCACTGATGCTAAAAAAAGTTGCTCCAGACTGGCACGCGATGCACTTGCCTATGAGGGTCTTGCCAGTCCCAGGGGGGCCAAAGAGAAGAATTCCTTTCGGGGGACCACGCAAGCCGGTGAAGATGTCTGGTCTCAGCATGGGCCACACCACTATTTCTTTTATAGTAGCTTTTGCAAATTCAACTCCAGCAATGTCGTCCCAGCTGACCGGAGGCCCGTGGTCCATGATCTCATGCATGATGAGTTCAACCATTTTTGGTTCTATATTTTTCAGCCGTTCATCCACAGGCAGCAAAAGGTCTGCTGATTCCTCTACATGAGGTTTACACTGTGCTCCTCCATTTTCATTTCCATCTTGTTTGGGAACTGGAGGCACAAACTTGCCAAATGGACCCCGAGACCTGCCTGCACCCAAGGATTTTTTTACACCTCCATATGACGAGACTGGTCCACGCTGGTTTTGAAATTTCTTTTGCTGATCCATCCACAGCTGTTCCTTTGCAGTTTTAAAGCCAGGGGCACCGCTCTCTTCATTTCTGTTTCTTTGCCCTGAAAAACCACTAGTTCCTGTAGAAATGGAAGCCTGACATGGAGCAAGGCTAGGAATAGCTGTGCTGCCTTCATCAGCCAGACCATAGAATGCTTTCCTTTTCCCAGAATTTGCAGACCAGGCAGATACAGCTGACTGGTTGAAAAGAGACAAATTTTGTCCATCACAACAGTTACCTGACATTTTCAGAGAATTGCTATTAGTGACTTCCTTACTTCCAAAGAGTGGAGTTGCCTGGAAGCCTGGATGAACCTCTTTGCCTAAGGAGGCTGAAGTGCCAGGAAGTGTGTCTGAAGTTCTGGTCACAGGAGGCACACTGCTTTGAAGGGACTTGGAAGATGAGGGATGCCCAAGAAGATCTGGTCCCTGACTTGCACATTTTGCTGAGCCAGCACTGAGCTCAGTCTCCCCAGTACTGCTGAAGACACCGAGTTTGGGAAGAGCCGGAGCAGCGGAGGCACTGACCCCTTTATCAGCTCGTACATGGGCATCTGTCGGTGCCATCTGAGAGCTCTGGAAAATTTTGCCAGCCTGCATTCTGTCTTGCACACACTTTAATTCAAACACATTATCTGTTGTCAAGGCAGATTGCCACTTGTCACTGTCACTTTGCTGACATTTTGCCAAAGTCAAAATGTTTTCCGCATAGTTATTCAAGCCCGTCTCTGCATTGCCAGAGTCAATAATCGCAGAGTATTTCTCTGCGTACTTCTTAAACAGGTTGGCAGCACAGACCTGGGAGATCTCGGAGTTTGCCCATGCATACTGAATACGCAGGATCTTGGCACGGTATCCATCTGCCTTCTGTCCGGGTGTGCAGGTGCCAGAGGTGACAGCAAAGTAACTTCCCTGCCAATCACTCAGGTGCACTGTGCTGAGGGTGGGGGCCTCCATCACTGACACTGGAACAGACACAAAATACCTGCAGTTACAAAATGCCATTTCACACCATTTGCACCAGCTGCTTCCCCCTTTCCTAAGTACTTACACAGGAAAACCTACATTCTTTTAACTGAGAGAAACAGAACAAGAGGTTTTGCAACCTTACTCTTTTCAAAAAGCAACCAGCTTTGTGGTGCAAAGGTATATAGACTGAGGTTCTCTTTTCTTCCTTGTCCAAAAAGAAAAAAGTGAGGGGGGAAAAAGAAGAGAAAGTTTGTTTCTAACCAGAGGTCTCCTGAGGAGGTAAGTAGGCTGCAAAGAATGGTAACAGATGGCCAAGGAAAAACTGGACTTGTTAAATGAAATCACCAGTGCTTTCTTTCTTATTTGACAGAATATGGCACAGTGCAGCAGAGGACAGAGGATACGCCACTGTCAGAATGATTTCATTTATTACAGTGATGGTAATAAAAATTAAACAATTAAGCTAGCAAGTAAAATTGTGTGCAGTGTCTCCTAGAGGAGACGAAAACGGAATGAATAATCCTGAATGTAGCAAGTTTTCAGATTAAGAAAATATTAACAGATTACTACTAAATGTTCAAAACTATTTCTTCCATTTAGAAGGCGCTAAAATGTCCCCATTTTACACTTAAAAGAAACAAAGCTCGTGTGTTTTCAAAGCAATGCTTGTTTCTCAGTTTCAGAAAGCAGAATTTAAACTCCTTCAGTGTTGGGGTTTTTTTAAGAAATAGCAATGATGACATTTGGCTCAGGAGGAGTATTTCATTTGACTTGAAATGATTTACTCACACTCACAATATATTTTCTTTCTCTGCAAAGTATCACATCCATATATTCTGCACCCTTTCCAACAGAGTTTGAGTCAATTTGCAATCCTCTGGATCAGCTACAGACTGCATAGGAGTGCAGATGAAGGTACAGGTGCAATGTTCATGCAAGGCTGGGGAGACAGAACTTAAGGAATCCAGACTATGTGGGGGTGTCCTCTCTAATTATCTGCAAAAAGTCTGGCATACTTCCATGATTCAGAACCTAAAATCTCAAGATCACCACCACTTTCTTATGGATTCAGTGGTCACCTCCATAGCACTGAGGGAAGGTCATAACAAGTGAACAGTGGTAACCAGTTTGAAATTTCAATTTGATTATTCATAGAATCACAGAATGGGAAAGTTGGAAGAGACCACAAGGGGTCATCTGGTCCAACGTCCCTGCTCAAGCAGGCTCATCCCAGCATACATGGCACAGGATTGTGTCCAGACAGTTCTCGAATATCTCTAGTCGGGGAGACTCCACAGCTTCTCTGGGAAACCTGTTCCAGTGTCGTCACTCCCACAGGAAAGGAATTCTTCCTCATATCCAGGTGGAACTTCCTATGCTTCAGTTTCTACCCATCACCTCTTGTCCTATTGTTCGGCACCAACCAGAACAGATCCATCCTCTCGACAAGCACCCTTTAGTTTTTTATATACATTTTAAGCATCATCTAGCATCATTCTCTCCCTCTAGTCTAATCCATACTAATTGTCCCCATAACCTTACAACTTCTCTCCAAGAGAGCCACATGCACACACGTTCAGCCAGAACAGTTCCCAGACGAGGACAGCGTACTTCGTGCCCATGCCTGAAGCTGGAGGTGTATCCAAGCACTTGCCAATGGATCTGGCACTCGGGTGCGTGCTCGCCTCAGCGCGGAGCGGGCGGGAGCTGCTGCCGGTCCCACTGCCTCCACACACGAGCACGCTCAGCACGGGCCCAGGGAAACACCACCAAGTACGCCAAGTAAGCCAAATAAGCGAGCACACCCGCCCTTTCACTGCCCTCAGGCCAGGAATCCAGCCGGGAAGCTGCCCGAGCACGGCTGAGCCCTCGCCGCCCCTACCCAGCCGGCAGCCACGGCTCCTCAGCTTAGGAGCCCTGGCCAGCCCGGGGGAAGGCGGGTCCCCACTCACGGCACCTGGAAGCGGAGGCCACAGCCCCGAGAGGGTTCCGCAGTTCCCTCCCTTCCCTTCTCCATTACTCCCCCCAGTCCCGGCCGTGCCACTCC